TGGGAGAGGCTGTGGGACGTTCAGGTGAATCCCCAGTTGAGGGGCATTTCTAATCCCCACAGCAGCTCCAGGGCACAGGAGCAAAACATCCTTGTGCAGGAGCTTTGGGGATGCCAGGCTATCCCTAAGGACCTGATCCCATCAAATACTTCCATGGGTAATCCCATCAAATACTTCCCTGCCATGAAGACCTTGGGGAGTGGCTGGGTTCCTCTGGGGATGCCCAAAGCCAGGGGCATCCCATCCATCCTCCACGTGGAGCTGAGCCCCATGGATCAGGACACCTGATGGAGCTGCACTGCCACGTTACCTCCAACATTAAAACCCTAAAAACCCTGAACTGGAGAAGGTGGAGGGAGGCACCAACCATCAGCCTTGAGCTGCACAACCCTGGGTTCAAGCACCAACATTATTCCTCACTCCTAAAACACAAGTTTGGGACGCTCAGGACCTGCTGCAATTTGCCTCCCACACTGGTGAATCCAGCTCATCATCCCCTCTGAGGTGAGGTCTGGCTGTCCAAAAAGGAGATGGGTGCTCAGGGCTGTGTTTTTACAGCTGCAGATGCCCCAAATGCTGCCAGATGTGGGTCTGGCTGGTGGTGCCCCCCCTGCATCTGAGGTGCTCTGGGGAGGAGATGCAGCCGGCAAGTGCTCCTTGACCACATATGTTCGAGATACCAGGCAGGCTGAACAGGTCTCAGGGTGTTTTTCAGGCAAAAACATCCAGCCAGAGTGCATTTTCCAACCTAAATACTGAGGAAATGAAGTGCTTGGGGTCAGAACGATGTGGGAGACACGGCCAATCCCACCAGCTGAGTGTGGTCAGGTCCCTGATAATGGAACCTGCTGGATGTGATGTCTGGAGCAGGATGGGTCAATCCCTCCTCATCTCCATTGACATCTGAGTGTGGGGAGACCCTGGAAGAGAATTCCCAGAGCTGCTGTGGCTGCCCCTGGATCCCTGGAAGTGTCCAAGGCCAGGTTGGATGGGGCTTGGAGCACTTTGGGATGGTGGAAGGCGCCCCTGCCCACAGCAGGGGGTGGAATGGGGAATATCCCTTCCAACCCCAACCCATTCTGTGATCCTACAGCACAAAAATCAACTTTTCCTGTCCAAGCCACCTTCCCTGGGTACCAAAAGGCATCACCAAGGCTGCCTAAACAGGGCACGACCTCCCGAGGTGTTGGCAAGGTTAAACATCTCACCACCAGGTTACCCTGCATGCCACAGAGCCATGAAGCGCAGCTGCTTCCAGATGAAGGAGGGGGAAAAAAAATGAGGCAGAGAGAGCTGAGGCAATTTTCCCAACATCCCTGGGGAGTCGGTGTCGGGAGCACGGAGCTGATCAGCTGCCTTTGCTCTCCAGCCCTCAGCGCCACAGCTGAGGGGCTCTCAAAGGTGCTCCAGCTGAGTGCATCCTTCTGCCACCTAAATCAGCTCTGAGATGAGAAACCACAGCAAAATAAAAGCTCTGGCTGCAAATATTCTGATTTTTCTGCCTCTCCAGGCAGCTGTGTAGAGTTTTTTCTTGCTTTTCTCCTCTTTCCGCCTTCCTTTTTTCTTCCAGGATGGTGAAACATGAACGGCAACATTAGATCTGTCATCTTTTCAACAGCCCAAACCCATCTAGAGGTGACCCCAGGACCACAAATCCCAGGAATTGTCGCTATTTTTGGTAGGCAACATAGCAAATTGCTGGAGGGGTGGAGGGTGGTGTAATTTCTCAGCTCCTGTGAGTAATTGCAATTCTCACCTCAAGGTGAGAGACTCAGAGGTGAGAAATCCTCAACCTGACAGCAGCCAGGAGCTCCAGGGCAGCAGAAAACAGAGCAGTGATGGGTCTCGGTGTCCTTCGGCCCCTTCCACCTTTTTGGGGTGGGTGTTCACCCCAAAACACCCCAAAATTACTTTTCATCACAACCAGGCAGGATTTAATGGTTGGACATCACTGCCACCTGCTCAGGGGTCTCCACCACCCCATTATACCAAACATTCTCATCAAGAATCTTCTCAATAAACCTGCCCACGCTTGGGAGAAAATATTATTTTGGGGAACCCCGAAGCAAGAGCAAATCCAGCCTGTGGTATTTTTCCATCAGGGCAGATGCAGAGGGAAAAGCACGGCTTGGGAAGAGCTTTGAGACTCTGGCTGATATTTTTATAACCTCAGAAATCGCCTTGCACAAACACTTTTTTTTTTTTCTTTCCAAAAGGGCAGCGAGAACAGGGTGTAGTTCAGCTGAAGATTCGTCATCGGAGGCTCCCAGAGGGGAGGAAAACTCTCCAGCTCCAAAGGGGCCATCCAGGAAAAGCCAAGGGGTTTTCTGGGAGCACCCAGAAAATGAGCTGGGCTGCCCTGAGGGAGAAGTTTTGTTTTGTCCTTCTCCTGCACGGGTTTTTCTCAGGATGGAGAAGTCAAGGGGCACCCCTGCTCCCTCAGCTGAAAAAGAAACTGAGGCCTCTTTCTTCTTTCCACGAATGCCGTGAGTCACTGGGCAAAGGGTTCCAGTTGCATCCCAGCAGCCTCAGGGATGAATCAGATGGACGGAGCCTCGTCCACTCAGGTCTCCACAGGATGATAATGACGAAATCAGGTCTCACTGGTGATGTGTCACTGATGATAATAACGAAATAACCTCCTCTGACTTGCTCTGCACCTCCACCTCAGCTGGATTTTCACCCTACAGGGGCGGCAGGGTTGAGCATCTTCTGCCCTGAGCGAGCTAAAATGAGGAGCTGCTCTGAGTTAAAAATAAAGAGGAAAAAAAAATTAAAAAAAAAAAGAGAGAAGGGTTATTTTTAACTCAGAGCAGCCCTGATCTGGTTCACCGCCCGGGCATGGAGACAGGGCTGTGAAACAAGGGCTGCTCAGCTCAGCTGTGGCCAGGAGGGAATTTGGGGATGGGGAGAAATTCGTTAACGAGGTTTTGCCGTTGACTTGGAAGCAGCTTCCTCCTGTCACGGACACAGAGCCTCCCAGCTCAGCTCCTGCCCCAGGACTCACCCAAAATATCCAGCAAGGACAGAGGCAGATACTCCCCAGAAGCCCTGAGCAAGTGCAAAGTCTCCTTATTCTCCTTAAATCTCATTTGGTATTTTTGGGTCTCTCTCAAAGCAGATCCTGGAGGCCGCTGTGTCCCAGGCAGGTCACAAAGCCAGGGCTGCACTGAAGGGACGGGGACATTTGTGATCCCAGTGGTAGCTGTCGGTGCCTGGCCATCGAGGTGGGCAGCAATCTGTTCCCTGGAACGCTTCTCCCCCTCCTGAAACCCCCCATTTCAGCCAGGTCAGCTTCCACAGCGCAGGACAACAGGATTAATTTGATTTCTCAGCGTGTCTCTGCCGTCACTTTCTTAGCCCATCAGTGCTGCTGCTGCTGAGTGACCGTCTGGGGAGATTTAATGCAATTTGGGTGCTTTCTTAAGCAAAATAATAATATTAATTTGTACCTGCTCTGCATGGGGCTGGTGCCTCCCTGCAAGGAGCACAGGGATGATCTTGCCTCCTCCCCAGGCTCCCTCCTGGCACTTCTCAGCCCTGCTGCTGCCATCTCTCTTGCGTGTGACCCACTTTTTTTAGGAAAAGAAGCTTTTGGGCTGGCGCCCATCTGCCTTCTCTGTGTAATGCTGGGTGATTTCAACCCCATTTGACAGGGGATGGAGGTCTTTGAGGTATTCATTTCCGATGGGCATTAGGGGGAACTCTGGAAATAAGCAGTTTGGGTGGCTTCCTGCTGTGTTTCAAAACTTCTTGTCCTGTCTTTAATGAAGGAAGTATTTAGGATTTAACTTGGGACAGCATATGATTTATCTCAGAGTTAACTCAAAACAGACAGGAGATAAACCTAAATTTACTGTGCACAGTTGTTTCTGTACCGACCTCTTGAGCTGTGGAACCATGTGAATTATTCTCTTTCCATGCTGGAGCTGAGATACTGCTGTGCTGACCTGTTCCCTCTACGCTGTATAAGATAAAATGAATTAATATTAGTTTAAATAATGAAAATTAACTGCTTAGGTAAAAAAAATGAAAAGGAAATTTTCCTGTATGGGGAAACTGAGGCACAGAGAGGCTGCAGCAAGCAGAGAGGATCGCTGGCTGCTTTGGGAATGGGGAATGGTGCAGGGAAAGGGAATGGTGCAGGGCAAGGGGAAGGGTTGGTGCAGAGATGAAGGAACGGTGCAGGGAAAGTGGAATGATGTAGAGAAAGGGGAATGATGTAGACAAAGGAGAATGATGTAGAGAAAGGGGAGCGATGCAGGGAAAGGACAAGGGTGCAGGGAAGGGGGAAGAGGTGAAAGGAAATGGAAATGGTGCAGGGAAAGGGGGAAAGATGAAGGGAAGAGGGGAACGGTGCAGGGAAGAGGGAAGGAACGCTGCAGGGAAAGGGGAACGGGGCAGGAAAGAGGGAATGGTGCAGGGAAAGGGGAACGGGGCAGGAAAGAGGGAATGGTGCAGGGAAAGGGGAACGGGGCAGGAAAGAGGGAATGGTGCAGGGAAAGGGGAACGGGGCAGGAAAGAGGGAATGGTGCAGGGAAAGGGGAACGGGGTGGGGAAGAGGAAATGGTGCAGGGAAGTGAGAAGAGCGCAGGAAAGGCCACAGGGCAGTGAAGGGGAGGGCGGGGTGCAGCGATAGGGGAGCTGTGCAGGAAGGGCAGGCACGGTCCCCACGATCCCGAACCCATTCCCGCAATCCCGGGGGGATCCCGGCCCCCGCGCGCGCCGCGCGCCGCGTCCGGTCACGCGCCAGCGAGTGGGCGTGGCCTGCGGCTTGACCACGCCCCCGAGCCGCGGCTCCCGCCGTGGCCACGCCTACTCAGTTCAGGCCACGCCCCCGTCCTCCCAGGGCTGCCGCTCCCGCTGTAGCCACGCCCACTGCGTCTCTAGGCCACGCCCCCGCTCACCCCGGCCCTGCGGCAGCCCGCCTTGGCCACGCCTACTCCGTCCAGGCCACGCCCCCCTCTCCCTCCTCGCTTCCCCGTGGTGCCTCGCGCGGGGCGGGCACTGACGTGGCCGCATCGCGCCGCCATCTTGTGCTCCAGGGCGGATCGCGGCCGGGGCGAGCGGGCTCCGAGCGGGACCCTCCGAGCGCAGCCAGACCCACGGCCCGCGGCTCCCGACGACGCCGGTGGGTTTGCCGACACCTTCTTCTTCCCTCCTTTCGAGCCTTTTTTTCCTCCCCGGGCCGCAGCGCCGCGCCCCCGCCCGCATCCCTCGGCCTTGGCGCTAAGGGGAGGCGGCGGCGGGCGCTGAGGAAGCGGGGCCGGGCTGTTCTTTCCTCCTCTTTCCTTCTCATTCCTTTTAATTCCTTCACATTCCATCTTATCCCTACTCCTTCCTTTTTCCGCACAGGACCAGAGGCCTCCGGGAGCGGCGCTGCCCCATCCGTCCCCCCCTCCACGTCTTTGGGGCGGGGGGTGGGGGGGCGAGTTGGGCCTTTCGCTTCCCTGCTTGTGGGTGGGATGGGGTGGGAAGGGGTGGGATAGGCAGGAGTGGGAAAGGGGAATCGCTCCATCTAGCCAGCAGCTGCACAAGGCCCCTCTCCGCTCCCTCTAGCGATGGGATTAGACGGGATGGGCTTGTCCTCCCTTCCCTAAACTCGCTCATTCCGGCCCCTGCCCCGCCCGTGGACGGCTCCGAGGAAGGAGAGGCATTTCCTCCTCCTCCTCTCCCCCCGAAACCCCTCGTCTGGTGGGGCAGACGAGGCTCGGATGAAGCTCGCGGGGCAGAGGTTGTTTCACCGTAAGCCTTTGGCTGCTGAGTTGGTATTTTTTGCTGGGCTGAGGAGTTGAGCTTTATCCTGGAGCAAACAACTCTTGTTTGCCATCCATCGGGGCTTGGGTGGTGTGGGAGATCAGCTTTCCTTGGCGGAGCAGCTCCCGGTGGGAGGATATTATATTCTGTCTGAAAATACTCTATCCTGACTGAACGTGATACTTTGGGGCTGATAAACCTCGGTGTGATGAAGTGATAGCCCGGCTCTGCCCCAGTAGAGCGAGACCAAAACTCTGCCGGGCATAAAACTGCCCCAAATGTTGTCGTGTTTGACATTGACCTTGTGGCTTTGCTGCTCTGCCCCTGCCAAAGTAAATTCCACAGGTTGATTAGAGTCGTGACCAGAGGTCTGGTGTTGAAATTGTAGCTTTGTCAATAACTAAAATTTCGAGTATTTATTTAATACTTCGAGTTTTGTCTTGTGAGGTTTACAGCAGCCCTTTGCAGGGTATTCCATTAACCTTATTTTCCAGGCGGAGAAACCGAGGCAAAGTGGATTTTTCCAAGGTCATTCTGCAATATCTTTATTGCTATTTTTGCTGCTCATTTGGAGTGCTTCTGTGAGGGGAAAAAAAAAGGAAGTGTGGCTGAAATGGAGGATTGCTATTTTGCTTTCATTCATGAGGTTTGCAATGGAATAAAAGTGTAGCTTTATGGATAAAGGGATTCTCTGAAAGGAAAGTTCTTGGGGTTGGTCTGATGCCACTGATTTGCTCTCTGCTTACAAACATGTCTGCAGTGCTGGAGAGCCCTGTTGGGCTGCTTTCCCTGTTGTAATAATTGCATCGGGTGAAAGGGTAAGGAAACTCACCTCGATTGAACCTCCTGCAACTCAAACTCCACAGCTTTGCCAAGTTTGTTGGTGCTTCCTGCGGTGGAGCATCAGGAATTAAAATGGCTCAAGCAGAGCCACCCTCCCCTCAGAACAACTTTGTGTTTGTGATGTAAATCCTGTTAAAAGTCAAACCCCTCGGTGTAAATGGTCTGAGGATCTCAGATTGGTTTCTCTGAACATTTCCTAGGTTGTGAAATAGTTGGAATGTGGAAGGGCCTGGCAGGGGCTGTGCTCGTGCACCGAGTTCCCTGTGAGTGTTAGTCATGCTGACCAAGTTGGGGGAGGACCAGGCACAGCTTTTCAAGGCAAACCAAGCATGTGTGGGAGTAGGGGCTGGATTCTGCTCCTGGGAATTCTCCACAGTGTGCTGTGCTCCAGCTGCTTCAAGCAGGAGCATTTATATAGATAATTATCAGCTAAGCCCATTGGTGACATGAATTGGTGGAAGGAGGAAAAGCTCAAAACCCAGGATTCCAGCTGAATTGGCAGTGGTGAAATTTAAAGAATCACCTTTACACATCCCAGAGGCTTTTATTTCTAAAACAACCTCTTATTTTTAAGGATGGGCTTTCAAGCAAGACTTCTTAAGGATTTCAATAGCCTTCCCGAGCATCCAGCTTCCTTTACAGTGGATAAATTTGGTGAACGTGAGCTAACTTTATCTGCAAAGGAATAGTTCTGATTCTTTTTTTAGAAATCTCTTGGAAGTTCTGCTCCTGGAATGCTACAGAGCTTGTGTTAGAGCTGGCGCCATTCCTTTCTTTAACTGATGAGTAAAGAAGTTCAGAATCAGCTTCCTACTACAGCAGCTGTTTTTTCTGTGTAATTCAGCATTTTTTTCTTTCTGCTTGCGAGTATCCGATTTTATTCCTTATTTTTAACATACGCAAACGTCTGAGGGGCTGTGGTGGAGCTTCTGCTGATGTTTCAGTTCTAATAAAACTCTGGTGTCTAACACAGCTCTTGTTCACCCACTGCTCTGGTACCTCACTACTCAGAGCTTCTGCCTTGACATTTCCCCCAAACCATAAGCCAATTTCATTGCTGGATGGAGCTCTCGTGTGAGTTCTTGCCATTTCTACTAGGAGTGTAAATGTTGACTTAGTGCCCAGTTCCTGGGAATGAATAACAGGATATTTGGCTTAAAATTGAAGATTTTGAACTCGGGAACAATTCAGCCTCAAAACCAAAAAAACACCCCAACTGTGCACTGCTTATCTGAAAAGAAATTCTTTGTACCCACCAGTTCTCACCAGTGTACACGGTGCTGAACTGGTGAGCACAAAGGCACAGGCCATTCTTGGGGTTCATAACTGCATTATTGTCACCACAGTATTTCCTGGGCAGGGAGGGCATGGACGCAGCTTCCTCTGTGCTTTTCACTAGTCAGACTGTGCTTTAAATAAGATATTTTTCAGACCAGATACCTGTTTTTCCTCTGGGTTGGTTTGTGTGCTCTCGGGTTATGGTAGTGTATAAATCTTTAAAATAATTGGAGGTTTTGTTGTGAAACAGCAGCAGTTTGCTTTCCCTGCTTGAAGGTGAGAATAAAGGAATAATTCTGGTTAGGGATTTGAGTATCAAGTCAAGCAACCTACTCTCTTTGATTCTGACCCTTTTTATTCTGGACGTTATTTTAGGAGTGAGTCTGAGAAATGGGCATGACCCCAAAGGAAATTCTCCCTCTTTTGTCCTTGTTTTGATCTTGTAAGTGAAACTATTTTCTGTTTTCTGCCAGTCCAAGCCCAGTGCTCTCAAGAGAATGTTCCAGCATGTGGGAAGTGTTCTGTCTGGGTAAGGTGTGTAGGCAGTGGGGTGTTCAACCTCCTTGGGTTAAACAAAGGTGCTGGACAAGGAGATTTCCTTTCACCTGGTGTCCCACCTGTGCTTGGCTTGTCCTCCATCTGCCTTGGACACGCACAGTGCTTTTGGACCCATTTTTATTAGTTAAACCCTGCAAGCCTTTGGTGGCCAAATCCAGCAGTCTGTATTTAGATGCCAGCACAGTTTTGTATCTTTAACTTTGATTTCAGTGCTGCTACCTTTTCCCTCCAATAACCAGGTTAGGATCCTTCAGGACACCTTTTCCATCCCAAACTTGGCAGAAGCACCCCCAGTGTAAACTGGGGGGAAATGTTTGCAGTGGTCAGTGCTGATTTCCAGTTAACACTCCTCTGGTTCTCATGGTTAAAATTATAAAGGAGTTAGGACTTAATATTAATGAAGAGCTCTGGGAAGATGTTGTTGGCATGGCCTTTATTACAGTGCTGTTTGTGCAGGATAATGAATCACCTGGTGAAGAAAGGGCCCGGCCTGCTTGTTGGCTGCTCTTTCATTTTACACGTCATCCATGCCTACTCATATTGATACGGTCTAAAGGAACTCAGATCCAAATTATCCGAGCTAAGTTTCAGTGTTAAGGCCCCAAAGTTAAAGGAGTTGGGAAGTTGTCATCTCTCAGCTTAGCAGATGTTGAAGGCCAGTAAACAGTTTCTAAAAATAGTTGAATGTAACTGTACTGGAATAGTGTATTGGGCCACCCTGGCTATATTTAAAGAGGTGTTTCCAAAATTTGCCGTAACAGAACGCTTTAATCTGTAAAGAAATTATTTCAAGTTCAAGAGAACACATCAGTCCTGTTCCCTGCTGAGTGGGGGTGTGAAACACTGGGGCTGTAGATTAATCCTGAATTTTAGCAGTGTTCTATTCTTGTTGGCTCTCTTCTCACATTCTCCTTTAAATCACACTTTATATTGTTAAGAACAAGCTGTCGGGTTAGATTTGTACTTTAAATTATTTGCCAGTTGTTCTTGCACATTACACCAGTAACAGCTGTTGGAATTGCATGAGTTTTTTAAAAAATGCTTTCTCACCTCTTATTTGCACATTGGTTTGGTGATCTCTTGTGTGAATATTTTGCTTCTCTTGATAATTTAATTTAAAACATTCTAGAATGCTATAAAGGAGAAAGAATGGTTCAGGCCAACTAGTGATAGCTGGCTGAATTTCAAATCAGTATTTCTGGTAAATAACAAATTGATCCATTTTTTGTTCCCCTGTGACTGATAGAACCAGTATGTTAATAGCAGGTTAGGAATTATGGATTTGGGGGTTTTCTAATTGTTTTAGACATGGAGTTAAAGCTTAGACCAATATCAAGTAGATTTTCCTTTAATTGGCGATGGAATTTTGGTAGTGAATCCACTGCCTTTATAAACAGGCCACTTTTACTTGCCAAGGTGCCCAAGCAAATGGAAGAAGGTGCAGGAAGGAGCTTTTTGGTAAACCTGCAGCTGTTGGGGCTTTTACCCATGCTTTAATATTTTGTCTGATAGTAGCTGTGTAGCTCAGTGTGTCATTGGTAGTGGTGACGTGTTTCTCTCTCCTTGAAACGGGCATTTAAAACAGGATAGGAACAGCTCCCAGAGACAGCAAATGCCCTCTGTACCTCTACCCCAGCCTGCTGTGCAGGGGAGGGACAGAGGCTTGAACTTTCCTTGACTGATCTTGCCACAGAACCATAAAATCCTAGAATGGTTTGGGTTGGAAGGGACCTTAAAGTTCCTCTGGTTCCAACCCCTTGCCATATTCATGGCTGCTGGGATTTTCAGATTGCCAAAATGACGGGCCCAGCAAGCTTGATTTTAACACTTGCAGAGCTTGGAGTGTTATTTTTTCGCTGTGGGAGCTTTATGTGGTAAGTGCTGGTCCATAGAAGTGAAATAAATGTATTTCTATATTGCAATTTGACTAAATAATGCATATGGCATCCTCAGCCTCTCATTTTGTCTCTGGTATGTTTAAAGAAATGGTGTAAACTTAAATGAAATAGAGTTCTTGTCTCAGGGAAGTTTAATCTCTATGTGGTCAAAAATAACTTTCCCAGAGGTGTAAAACTGAGGTTCTGTGGGATTTTCAAGGTGTATTATGCTGTCTTTGATGGCCTGCACATCCTTCTGGTCATACATCCGTGGGGTTGTTAACCAAGCTCACCCAAGGAGTTTGGAGGTCAAGCAGCAGATTGGACTTCTCATGATAAGCAGCCTGAATGAAATGACATTCAGATGCATTAATGTACGTTTGAATATAAAATGCTGCAGGATGATTAAGTGTTTAGTGCTCTTTGGCCTTGAGATATTCCTCAGAGCTCTTACTCTAACCACTACAATTAATAAAAGCAGATTCTGCTTCTTCGTCATGGGCTGTATCGCTTTAACAACCACCGGGCTGCTGCTGTTGCAGACTCTCATTCATTTTTAACTTCTCACTGCCAGCTTCTCTGCAAAGGCTGCCTGTTCTCCTCATGGCTTATCTGAATGTATCGCTTACTAGGAAACGGGCGGCTGAAAATACTTTTGTTTCATGAAATGAAACTGCAACTTGCCCATTGAACTGCAGCGCTGCTGTTTACCAATGGCACATTGTATCTTAGCCGAACCTGCCTGACGGGTTTTAGTGCTGCTGAGGTGGAGTGCGGTGGGTTAAAGTGCTGTAGGCCTTCCACGGGCAGGGGGACAGACAGACAGACACTTCAGTGCTGGAGTGAACTGGGTCTGGTCAGGGATGCTGAGTGTTTCCAGAAGCTGGAGTTGTACTGAGGGAAAATACGCACTGAGCTCTGCGAAAGTAGTCTGTGCTGTTTATTCAAATCGTTCTCTTTCATACTCAAATCTTCCCACTTAGCCTGATGGATCCCTCTTTTGAAGATGTGCTCAAGCACTACAAGCAGCTCACAAGCCTTAGTCTTTTATGTTTTCAGGAATTTTATTCAACTTATGCTCTTTGTAGCAATTACTGACAACATTTGAGTGGAGGGAAGGAGAAAGTTAAACTTCAGTAAGGAATACAGGTCTGATATTGGTGAGTCAGGGTACACATTGCAAGGGGTGATGATGCCTGAAAAAAATAACAGGGTTTTTTGCTTAACTTCATATACGAGGAAATTGAAGACTCATGGTGCAAGTAATGGGCTGGAATGGGAATTAAAGCTCGTTCCTGGAGTGCAGAGGGAGCAGTCGCGTGATCCCTCAGCTGAGCTGTATTAACAGAGGCAGCCAAAGCAGCTCAGGCCCATCGGGGAAGTTCCTGTGGCAATGCAGGGAGAGGAATGTGGAGTACAAACCATGGCCTGTGAGTTCCTTCCCTGTGGGAAGAGATGAACATCAGTGATTTCTGCTCAGGGGATGGTCCCACCCATGGTGAGGACAGGGACCCTGCCCGAGCCCCATCCAAAAAAAAGCCCTGATGGGAACCAAAACAGTTTGTGGGAGTTCTGCAGAAAAATTTCTCCTGTTTTGTTTTTTTTTAATTTTAGACAGCAAGAATTCAGCTACGTTTTAGTCAACTTGTAAACACACTTTTCTTGCAGGAGTGGGCTGTAAACTATGCTGTGCTGCCTATAAAAATAAACGTGACTTTTTGTAATGCCACCTACCCTGAAGTACCAAATAAAGTTACAGAATGGGTTTGGATAGGAGGTATGTGGAAGAGAACAAGAGGGAAATGGAAACCAAGTGCTTAAATGGATCTTAACTTCTTATTCTTCATAAAAAGTAAAAATAGGGAGGATGGGTGGTATAAAAGCAGCTTCAATGGCAAAGGGCAGGCTTGACCTGGAAATAGCTGCCAGGGAAACGGGGATCTAACGGGATTCACTGCTCTTAGTGCCAAGGACAAGCAACTTGTTCAGCAACCTGTGACTTCTCCAGTGTGTGGAACGATGTCATGGATGTAAATGATAGGATTTTGCTCTTTTACATAATTACTGTGATCAGTCCAAGCATTTGATAACCTATTATGCTTTTAAACGTGTGCAAACCAAAGAAAGGCATTCTTTGTGCAGGCTTCTAAGGTTCTCTTGCTGCAGAAGTTCTTGCAGTCCCTTTCTGTGAGCTCTGGTAAAAGGTCACAGTTGAGCCCTGACTGCTGCTTTCCAGATGAAGCAGGAGATAGAAGTGGCATGAGCAGCCAGACAAAGAAAAGCTTTACAGCCTCCCTGCCCTCCAGCCTGGTGAGAACTGTGCTGTGGGTTGGGATGGGAGATTTCCTGCTGTGGAGAGATGGAGACTGCAGCAAAACTGTTTTCTCTGCTTCCTAATTAACCTTCCTGTTTATACAGCCTTCATATATTCCAGTGGGAGTGGAATATCCATGGTCATGCTGCAGAAATACAAAAGGAAATGGGGGAATAATAGAACTTCTAAACCTCCCCTTTGGTTTTAATCCCCAGGCTGCCCAGTCTGGTTTGTAGAGGAGTTTGGTTTTAAAGGTTCAGCCATATAACCGAAATGGATCTCTGACTGGAGTTGCTTCAGCAAGTTGGTGTGTGGGGTTTGACATCCTGCAGGGACTCGAGTGGACTCTGAACTTCCCTGTGGAGCTGCGGGTGCTTAGACACGTGACTTGGTTAATGTTTCAGAGTTTGACTTTTGGGTTAAAAATTGTATCCAGCAAAGCTTCCTGAAGAGGACAGAACTGCTCAGCCCTTTCCCAGTGCAGGGTGGGGAAGCTGGGCTTCAGACATGACTAGGACTAAAGAGAGTGGGAAAAGGCTTTTGTGTTGTGGTATGCTTTTCAATCCAAATCTTGCTTTAATGTTCTTAAATGGATATTCTGTAAAGCCTCTTTCTAGGGAGAGTTTTGCTTCAAGTACAGCTTCATCATGAAATACAGAATATTTCCGGAGATGATTCAAACTTCATGTTATGCTTTAAATTTGATTTGGTTTACAGGAAGCTCATACTTTGAATGTATTGGTTGTTCATGCATCTCATCTGAAACTTGAATTTTCAGTTGGGCTCTTTCTCTTCTTAACTGAGATCTGAGAGGTTCTAGAGCCTGCAGCAGGGAGGGTGTGAATTGTCTCTGGTCTGTGGAGCTTCTAGGCTGTTTTCTCATGCCTTGTAATAAGCACAGCAAAGTTCTTGTGGAGATTTCAATCCTGCTGTAAAGTGTGCAGGGGTAAGGTTGGAAAGAGGGGGGAAATTTGTGATGGGATGGGTCAGGTCCCAGGGGCACAGGGAAGTGTCTGAGGCTGGAGTGCAGAGGCAGCTTCTGCAGTTTCTAACAGGAAGCCCCTCCTGATATTAATCACTTTAATCATCCAGGCAGGAGTGTTGGCTGTGAAGGAAATGCTCATCCCTGAACCTGCTCTTTTAATGTGGCTGTTAATTCTCTGTAGTTAAGTTTGATTAAATGTGGATTTGCTTCCTACAGAAGGTCTCCCTCCGCTGTTAATGAAAGTAACTGCTCTGTGTTTATGTGCTGTTCACACACCATTTCCTCGGGGATGGAGAGGAAGGAAACTGTTCTGAGTAGCAGAAAATCCAAGCTGTATTCAGTTTCCTTCCCAAAAGAAGGACCAGCTATTGCTGTGCTAAGCAAAAACTTGTTATCTGCAGGTCAGTTGGGAAAAATTTGTTTCATGGTGACTCTTTTTTGCAGATTAATTATCCCATAACAATGGGGAGCAAAGTATCTGAAATGCTGCATGAATTTTGCAAGCAGAAGTTTGAGAACAGCAATTAATGCTGAAACCTCTGAAAGAATATTTGAAGCATTTCAAGCACTTAAAGCTGAGTCATTTCATGAGCACTGAGTTTTGGCACATCTGTTCATCTTTGTGTTGCTTCAGTGGGGGAAAAATGTTCAGTGGTGGCTGGAGTGTCTATAAATGATTCACATTATCTCTTACTTCTGGTTTTTTTGTGGTTTTTATGTAGTGGTCAGAACACACTGTTGGTAACTCATGAGTGATACTCTGATCTTTTTTCCTCCAGACTTTACTGGCCAGTGAGAACATATCTCAACCATGGGAAATATTTTTGCTAACCTCTTCAAAGGCCTTTTTGGCAAAAAAGAAATGCGTATTCTAATGGTTGGCCTGGATGCTGCAGGAAAGACAACTATTTTGTACAAACTTAAACTTGGTGAAATAGTAACTACTATCCCTACTATAGGTAAGAGTTTTATGTTTCTCTAACTGATGGCTTTGAGATTTGGGTCTCAGCTGATTTAAGTGACTTGTCTGTCAGAACAAACACTTGTTAAATCCATGGTGTGAAGATGGCACAGCCAAATGTTCTGCCATGGGAGGAGATTGTAACTCTTTTCTCACTCCACTCCCTCTCATCAGTTGTTTGTGGAATGAGCCTTTATGGGCCACAGAAAGGCAGTTTGTCTCCCAGGCTGTTGTGGTATCATGTCAATCAGACTGAGTAGCAGAGGGTTCACCTTTTTTAAATTTTTTTTTATTGGAGGGATTGAGATTTGCAGCTCTTAAAACTCAGGGGAGTTTGGGTGTGGTTGTGTTTGTTTGTTTGTTTGTTGTTTTTTTTTGGCAACATAGTTTGTTTCTTGTAGCTGCTCAGAGAGCAATTAGATTTGTTCATTGGGGTGATGGTGGGAGCAGGTCAACCCATGTCTGTCTGCTTCGAGAACTTCAGCACAGGATTCTGCCAGTTTAAAGTAATACCAGTTTTAACTGAACTTTTTTTAAATGATGACAGTCTGAGTGTGACTTGCTAAATACAACAGGGCAGTTATGTTTAACTGAGATTTATGCCACAATCTCTTTTTAGGTTTCAATGTGGAAACAGTAGAATACAAGAACATCAGCTTCACAGTGTGGGACGTGGGCGGTCAGGACAAGATCAGACCGCTCTGGCGCCACTACTTCCAGAACACACAAGGTGAGTCCACACACCTCATTCCCAGCTTTCCACAATCTAAGAGAGTTTTTCACTGTCTTCACCAAGTTAATCTTGCAAGTTTCTTGGAGGGGAGTGGAAATATTGTTATAAAAGGGTGTGTTGGTGTGCTGCTCTGGTTCTTCTCTCAAGCCACTGCAGGTTCAAAGAGGGATAGGAAGAATTCCAGAAACCAGTCTTCCTTGTCCTTCCTTCTGACTCAGAGCGAGTTCAGGAGTTTGTTTTCCTTCTGTCAGCATCACAGCTCTGCCCTCACTTCAAAGCAGAGTCTTTACTGGAAGCTCTGCAGCCCCATGAACAGAGAGTTTGTCACTTCTATCACTGCTGGGCCTTTTCCATGTGCGTGTTTTGAGTCCTGTGACAGCATTTCAGGAGCTGCTGCTCCCTGGAAAATGCCAAGTGCTTATGTAGAAAGAGGACCCAAGCTGCAAAAACAAATGCAAACCAACACCAGTTTTCACCAACTTTCAGCAAGAACAGACTTTCTCTCAGACATGAGACTTCAAGTTTGTTTATTCTTGTTTGCTTATTTCCAGGTCTGATTTTTGTGGTTGACAGCAATGACAGAGAACGTGTGAATGAGGCCAGAGAAGAGCTTATGAGAATGTTGGCAGAAGATGAGCTCAGAGATGCTGTTTTATTAGTGTTTGCTAACAAACAGGTATGCCCAAGAAAGGTGTCTGTCTGTCAGAACCCTTCAAAACTTCCAGCATCTTTGTGAGTGCCAGATCTTGACCTTGATTTTCATATTTTCAGTGTAATGATAAATAAACTCAGAGTAAATGGCCATTCAGGTATGTTGAAGGGAGAAAACCGTGGATTAAATTCTCATCTGAAAAGAGCATCCTTTAAACAGTCTTAGCTAAGAGGTTTTCAGTTTTAGTAAAAATCAGTTTGAATTTTCAGGTTGACATGGCTCAACCAGGTTGGCACCTGCCCAAACCTCCTCCAGAGAGGAATGCTGGAATGCCAGAACCTCCCCGAATTCCTCATTTAGGGTGTTTGAGGGCACTGCTGGTGTTGGTGGAAGCACTGGAGTTTTAATGTGCTTGTGTTGACCTGTGAGCTGGGCTCTCCCAGGCCTCAGAGTTAGCTGAGAGTTCTGCCGTTTATTGCTTGTAAAGGTCTTGGCAGCTTAACCCCAAGTGTCAAGGGCCTGAAATGTGAGCAGGAAATGTAAAGAGGGAATAACATCCTGCTCCACTGATTGCACAGCCTCAACTGGGAAGGGTGAAGATGCCCTAAGTCATGTCCAGGAGCAAAAAGGGTGGGCTCTAAAGAAGCTGTGCTCAGCAGAGTAGTACTGGGTGATAAAAGTTGATCTTAAATCATAACTGCAGTCACAGAAAGGATACCTCTGAGTGGAAACAGACTTGGAATTGTCAGCAGTATCAGCACTGGGGAAATGGCTGGATCCAGGTATCAGCTGTCTCACTTCCCTATGAAATATTCCATAATGTTGATTTACATTGGGTTGTTAAACCTTTCAGGCTTTTGTCAGTGTTGGGGAAATAGCTTGAATATCAAAGTAATCCACTGGGGTTTTCTGAAAGAGAAGTTCTGAGAGCTCTTAACTTTGTTGAAATGCCTTTAAAGCTGGTGGTGAAGAGTGGGGAATGACTGTTGTTGCTTCCCTCAGGACCTGCCGAACGCCATGAATGCAGCAGAAATCACAGACAAACTTGGACTGCATTCTCTTCGTCACAGGAACTGGTACATCCAGGCAACCTGTGCCACTAGTGGAGACGGTCTCTATGAAGGACTGGACTGGTTGTCCAATCAGCTCCGAAACCAGAAATGAAACCATAAACCTTCCTCTTCCCTCTTTTTCCACCCCTCCCTCTTATTTCCTCCTATTCGCCCTTCGCTTTACTCTAATGTGGCAAACTGTGCTACTTTGTGGTATTGAGTGCCGGAAGCTGTTTTCATTTCTTTTTGTCACAGTATATATTGCATCATGCTGTAAATGTGGCAAATACAAGCCTGAAAACAGTTAGGTTTCTTATTTAATGTAAATAGTTTTTGTTTCCAATGAGGCAGTTTCTGGTACTCCTATGCAATATTACTCAGCTTTTTTATTGTAAAGAATCAAGTCACTGTTTAGTACCTGGAAGGGAATTAAGTGGGTTAATAACGTAAGGGTTGCCAGTAGTCCTTGTGCAGTAGAGCTGGATTCGATCTTGGTTGGGTTGTGAGATCTGTGAGATCCATTTTGGTGGTTGGTTTTTAACCTGAATTCTGTATTTTTTTAAATAGACAAGGAAAAGTAAAAACACTTAAAACACACAGACGTTTGACATCGCTTCTGCTGCTCCAGCTCTAATGTGGTGACTCTTGATTCTTTTGAAAGGGTGAAGCAATGACTGACACCCAATTAGCTTCATCTGCTTAATGAACAGATCATAAGTAGTAGATCTCTGGCTCTTTGTGTAGCTCGTAGTCTGTGCTCATCTTCGTTCACAACTGTTCAAAGATTTCCCGAGCCTGGTTTAGATGAGCTTTGCAGACTCATGCTAAACATCTGACTTTTGGTTCAGGTGAGATTTCTTGTTTCCATTGAACTTGAATCATTTCCAGAAGTCAACATTTTTAGCCTGTCATATTTGTCAAAAAGTGTTTTGTACTTTTCTTGTGCGTAAACCACTCCAGAAGGCAAAACCTTTCCACAGGAAGCACAGCCTGTCCTAGTCCTAAGCTCTATAGGCAGAAAGTACTGTACTTAACGTAAGAATTGCCATGAAAAACACCAAACATCTATGTATAGTGTCTAGGGAAAACAAACAAAAAGCATGAGAGTTTGGAGAGTCATTCCACTCTACAAGTATTCAATCCCATTTTGGAACAATCCCATATCTGTATATGTGTGAAAACCCTTGGCATCCCTCATACTGCAAGGTTCAGATTTGCCATCAGAAAAATAAAAAAAAGACCTCTTTACTTTTCTTTTGTATTTTGATAAACACTGAAGAAGCTGGAGCTGTTAAACTTTAACTCGAGGAACTATCAGAACTGGTTTATTTAGTGTTGTGGAAACCTTTGCTTTCAATACACAACTAGTAATCAACTGTTTTGTATACTTGTTTTCAGTTTTCATTTCGACAAACAAGCACTGTAATTAAAGCTATTAGAATAAAATCTCTTAACTATTTCATGTTTTTTATGCCTTGCTGTTCATTCGATCATCTTGGCAGAATCATAATTAAATACTTGTTGAATAAAAAGTTTCATGAAACTTGCACTGGTATCGTGTTGGTTTGTATCATCTTTGTGCAGGGGATCCACATCCAGGCAGCGTTTTGCCACATCATGATTTGCATGAAAATTTGAGGATATCTTCTCTATTTTCCACAAAATGTATCATTCCTGGTTGGAACCCTGCAGGTAAAATGATGCTTGTTGGGTTCTACTGGAGTAATTTTGTTGCTTCTGGGCCAGCACAGCTTGAGCTTCTTGAGTAGCCCCATCACTTCCCCCAACAGGTTGTTCCTCCTGCTGCTCCCAGTTAATTACAGGATCTGTAAATTAGCAGTTTTGTGGGGAAAAAATAGGAATTCCGCTTCCTAAGTGCTTTGTTTTGCATTTTTCCTTTCTGCAGTCCCCTCTGGATCCGGGACAGAGCTCTTCCTCTGGATGATCCTCCTGCCTTCCCTGTCAGCTGCAGCTTCTCCTCCCCAGTGCTCACACTTGGGCTGCCTGCCAGCTCCCAGCTGTTCTCCTGGCTGGAGCTGCAGCACATTCCCCATTTCACAGGCTGGAAAGCTATAGGATGGAAGGTCTGTCCTGCAGGCTAGAGAGAAAAAATTCCCTGTGGGAAAACCTGAGACCAGGGTGGGTAACACGGACTGTGGCTGGGGCTGTAGTAAAGGGTAAAAAACACTGGGCAAGCTGTGATCACAAACCTCCTGCAAGTCAGAAATTGACCTTGGAATTCCAAGCTCTGAATCAGGATATTTGCACCCCTAATAGGGCAGGACAGCTCTTTATTCCTGTTCTGGGTAGGAATTGAACTTGAAGGGGAAGCTGGGTTAGGATGCTGCTTTTCTGCATGCAGAATTTGCTGTGGAAAATGAGTAATATGGTGATGTTACCAGTACAGCTGTGGGAGCTGTACTCTGCCCTCTGCTCTGGGCAGCACAGGCTTTGCTCTGTTCCAGGCTCTCAGCCTGGATTTTGGCCACCCAGCAGCTGGACAGGCAGGTTTTGGGGTGAGCAGGGATGGGACAGGGATGGGGCTGGGCTCCTTTATCCCTGTCCCCTTCAGTTTTGGCTTCCCATGTTTCTAAACCTGATTTCCTCAGATCTTGGTTTGGAGTGTGAAACAGGAAGGGGGGAGAGCAGGAGAAAGCCCAGGAGAGCTGAACTGAGCTGGGCCAGCAGTGCCCTGGCCCCTCTGCCCAGCACTCTCTCCATCTGAGGAGCTGTGGGTGCAGCTCATCCTGCCAGAGCCCAGGCCTGCCACAGCATCCATCCCAAACTTTGGGAGGTGAAGATGGGAACTGGGAGCGGGACACTGGAATTTATGGTATTTTTTCTCTGCTTGCTGTGCTGTTTTCACTCTCCCCTGGCTCCCTTTTCAACCTGCTGCCCAGTTCCCATTAGGTGCAGTCCTGCTCTGGAATGTTCCCAGCGGGCTCCAGCCACAGATCCCAAAATCTGAGCTCAGCCTGGTGAGCAGCATCAGAGGCAGAGCCCCGGGCCAGGGAAGTGCATGGGCTCAGGGCATCCCTGGGATGGATCTGGAGCTGCAGCTGCTCAGAGCACAGGGAACAGCCCTCGTGCCAAGAGCCTGTCAACCCCAAAAATCATCTTGGGGTGGGGATCACCCAAGTCTGTGACGGCCCCACAGCATCTCCCTCTGCTCGGGTTGGGACAGAAGGGCTTTGTCAGCTCATGAGCACGGTCCCACTGGGCTTTTGTCCACCAAGACACACAAACCCTCCCTGTCTTCAACTGCATCATTAATTACACAAATGAGGCCCTTGTGCTTGGCACGGCCACGCCACAGCCAGCGATGCTCTGGAGCTGCCCGGGACACCCCCTTTCCATTCAGATCAATATTTCTATTTATTGGTGTAAATAAAATTCCCTTCTTTCAGTATGCCAAGAACATAAATAATCATGTGCTGAGGGTTTGAATCCTGGATGGGAGTTTGCTGCTCCCTGGGGTGGGTGGATGTGGCCAGGGGCCCTGGTCCCATCCACTTTCTCCTCGTAAGATTAGGAATTATTTAGGTGTCCAAGGCCAGGCTGGACAGGGCTTGGAGCAGCCTGGCCCAGGGGAACTGGAATTAGATGAGCTTTAAGCCTCCATCCATGCAGCTGATAAGTTTAGGGAATTTTTAAGGAAAGAAACTCTTCAGCCACTGTACTGGCAAGCACTCAAGGGCATGGAAATAAGACAAAACCCCATAATAATAATAATAATCATCTCTTCCAAAGTCTCTGTACATAAACACGAGGTATCCGCAGCATTTTCAGCACCACAGCCAGAACCACCCCAGCGCCAGTCCCCACCCAGCGCATCCTCTGTGCTCAATCCTGCCCAGATGGATTTTAGGGAGTGAGGAGAAGGGTGCCCAGGCCCTGCTGCCCCCCTCACCCGCTGGTGCTGCCCCTGGACGGGCAAGGAAGGGCTGCTGGCACCAAAACCTTAATGCCCTTTGCCAGACTCTGCCCCTGCACCCGCGGGGCTGCGGCGTTTTTAATTTAATCACCTTTAAAAATATAAATCTCTGGAAGATCTCCCTGAAACAACCCCAGGCTCCCTCTCAGTCCTCCGAGTCGGTGTCGTGGCGCTGCCGCACCCCGCGGGCCGGGGGGGAGTGGGACCTGCTCCTTTTCCTGCCCTTTCTCCGCGGGGACGGGTGGCGGCCCCGGCCGTCCCTGCTCCGGCTGCGCTGGCGGGCGGGGCCCCGGCCGCAATTGCCGCTGCTCGCCGAGGATTCCGTGTCCTGCCGCCGCCGGCTGCCGTGCCGCGGGGCCTCCGAGTGCTGCTGCGCTTTCCTGCGGTGGTGCCTGCGGGGACAGGGGGGAAGTGACAGCAGGGATAGTGGGAACGCCAACAAGTTGATTCTGCGGGTGAAAAAGGGGTTTTGGAAAGCCAGGAAATGCCAATGGGGCAGCCTGATGCAAGCCATGACCAGGTGGCTCTCCTGAATCCTTCCTCCTGATTTCCACTGATGATGCCTCATCCCATCCCAGCTACCTCTTATCCCGATCTGGGGAAGAATCGGAGGATGATGGGGCAGCATCCTTCTTGGAATGCTTGTCTTTGTCCTTCTTCTTCTCCTTCTTATGTTTCTTCTTTTTCTTGTTCTTTTTCTCCTTCTTTTTCTCCTTTTTGGATTTTTTGCTGCTCTCAGGTCTGCAGGGAAGAGATCAAGCAATGAGAATCCCTGCACTGTGCATCCCTCTGGCTCCAAAAACTCATCCCCATCCCTTTTTCCAGGCACATCCCACCACATCCCTCCTTTGCCAAAGAAAAGCCCACAGATGCTTTTGGGGATGATTCAGAGAGATGGAAAACAAGCCCAGTGCCAAACAGAGCCATGGAAACATTTTGTAAAACATTTCCCAGAAAAGACAGGGAATTTCTGGTGATTTCCCACCAAAATGGGAAAAATCCTCACCGTTTCTCCTCCACCTTCTCCTCCTTTTCCTGCTTCTTCTTGGAGACAGGTATCTCTGGGCTGCTGGAGACTTTCTGGTGCTAGGGTTGGAGAGAGAGAAAAAAACAGAGTGAATCCATAAGGCCATAGTTTGTAATTACAAAACAAAGGGGGTTTTCTCCCTTTAAAATTTAAACCTGGAAAAAAAAATTAAATTACATTTGGGAAAAATTAGAGTACACTTAGGAGCTGCTAGAAAATTAAAGCCCCACAAATGAGCTCCATGCCAACAGGACACATCCTGCAGATCTTCGTGCTACAATATCCACACAGGTTTTTAAATAAAATATTCCAAGTGTGGGGCATTGCTTTTTGCCTTTTTCCATCTATTTTTGAACCTTCCAAGGACAACGTGACTGGCTCCATACCGTGAAGACCGAGAGCCCCAGCTTGGCTGCCTCTCTGTCCTCCTTGGAAAGCATCACCCGGCCAGCACTGCCACTGCAGAAAAACCACACAAAAAAAGCATAAAAAACACTGAAATCAAATTGTTCTGAAATTGGTATGGGATCTTTCCTTCTCCTTACCTGGAGCTGCCCAAACCCACCACCCGATCCACGTCCTTGTCGTCCCGCTCAGCGCCGTCCCTCTTGCACACCTCAGCCAGGTCCTGTGGGGACGGGGGACAGTGTCCTGTGTGTGTCCCCAAAATTACAGCCCAGGGGACACTGCTGGGACTGTGGTGCCCCTCTTACCTCTTTGCTGAGGCCCGTAGGCTGCCTCTTCAAGTTCTTGTAGCCCCTATAAGAACAAGAACATGTGATATGTGAGGGGACACACACACCCCTCCTGGTTTTTTGGGTTTTTTTGTGGGGTGTGGACTCACAGTGCTGCCATCATGGCCTCCTGCTCGGCCAGGCGGACAGCAGCCAGCTCTTCCTCCCGGGATAACGAGGGAGCCGTGTCCTTCTTGCCCTTGGCATACCAGGTCAGGTCCTTGCCCTTCTGCCACCGCCCCACCGGCGCCATCAGGGAGTTCCCTGCGGGGAAACAATGACCCCCCCCTCAACACCATGGCACCCCAAAACCGTGGCAGAGGAGACAGGGAGAGGGGGGGTAGGGGATCTGAGCAGGACCAGCCCTTACCCAGGTAATTCTCACGCTGTTTGTCCGTCTTGACATCCTCCCAGCTGAACTGGTCCTGGCCCCCCCGGACCCCGCCCCGGGAAGAGCCGAACATGGCACTGCACCCCACGGCAAATTCGGGGGGATTCTGGTGACCTGCAAAGACAGCAGCCCTGGGTTTACCCACTCCAGATCCTCCATGCAACCCTGGGGGTGCTCCTGAAGGGGCAGGGAAGCAAATTTTCCCCCCCAGGGGTCAGTGGAGTAACCAAAGGCCCTTTGTGGGGGTGTTACAGGCTGGAAGGGGGGTTTATGAGGAGGAGGTAAGAGGGGGTGAATGCCTTGGGGAGGGTCCCAGCCTCGGGGGACGTTGCTGGGTGAGGAGGGGGCCTTAGGGCAGGCTCAAGGGGTTTCATGGCCTTGGGGGTTCAGAGTCTAGGGGAGGTTCAGAGCCTCAAGCAGGGTTTAGGGCCAGCAGTGGGGCAGCCACAGCTTGGGGGTTTCAGGGTCTGGGAAGGGGTTGCAGAGCGAGGGGGATTCACTGTCTGTGGGGGGGAAGAGTCCAGGACTAGAAGTGGGAAGGTTTAGGTGTGGGAGGAGGTTCCAGGTTTGATGGAGGGGTTTAATGCCCGCATGAGGGTTCTGGGCTTCAAGAGGGAGGGTTCGGGGCCTGGGGGGTTTCAGGGTCTAGGAGAGGGTTCACAGCCTGGATGGGATGAGAGCTGGAAGCGGGGGGGTCACGGCCTGGGGAGGGCATTACACGGCCTGGAGGAAAGGTGGTACAGCCCGAGAAGAGGCTGCACGGCCCCGGGGGGGGACACTACCAGAGGCACAGTTTCAGGGTCTGGGAAGGGGTTCAGGGCCGGGAGAAGCTGCAGGACCTGGACGCTGCAGGGCCTGAGGTGGGAGTTTGCCCGTCCCCGAGGGTTGTGAAAGCCGCTCGGGGCAGCCCCAGACCCTCCGGGTTGGGGAGTGCGAGGATCGGGTGAGCCCGACCCGCGGGGTCACACGTGGAGCCCCCAAATCCCAAAATCCCCAAACCCCAAAGCCGCCCCCGCTCCCCTCACGCACCTCCGGCCGCCGAGCGCGCGCCCGCCCCGCCGCTACCACCGCGGGCACCGCCGGGGGGGGAGTGACGAGTCGGGCGGTACCACCGCGCCGCCAGCGCGGGGGGAACCCCGCAGAGCCGCACCGCCGACACACGGCTGTACTTATATGTATTTATTTATGGATTTATGCATTTCTGGTTTTAGCGCTTCACTTCTTCCAGAACTTCTTGTAGGTCTCCAGGTCGATGCCCTCGAAGGTCTCCTCCTCCTTGGCCTTAAGCTTGGTGGGGAAGTGCCGGCGCAGACGAGCCTTGCGCTCGGCTTCGGGCAGCGTGCTGCTGTCCAGGGGCACCTGGGGACACGGGCATGAGACCGCGGGGACAGGGTGTGACACCCCAGGGAGACGGTGTGAGGTTCCCCAGGGACACGGTGCGACACCCCAGGGACACGGTGCGAGGTTCCCCAGGGACAGGCATGAGCTCCCAGGACACGGCGCGAAGCCCTGGGACAAGGCACCAGACCCCTGGGACACCGCCCGAGGCTGCCAGGCCTCGCTTTGTGCCCGTACCATGAGGATCCTCTTGGGCTCGCGGTAGCGGAGGCGGACGGTGGAGCCGTCGGTGCTGACCAGCAGCACGGGGTAGAGGCGGCCGTAGAGCTGCCGGTGCAGGTGGGAGATGGCGGCGCGGTTGGAGTTGCTGCGGACACAGGCAGCGAGCGGCGGCCGGGACGCGGCCGGGAGGCGCAGGGCACTGACGGGAGAGGAGCAGGGTCAGCGTGAGGGTGACACCAACTCCAGCAGGCCGCTCCCAGCGCTGGGTCACAGGCACTCGGTGCTCACCTCAGTGCCCGGCTCGCCATCTCAGCCCAGCTCCAGCAAACGGAGCAGATGACACAGCCTAGGGATACTCTGAGGGCAAGGAAAGGTCCTGGCGTGGCTGTGGGGCGACATGGCCGTGTCTCCATCACTGTGAAGCTTCCACAGCCCCTCTGCAGCACGGAGCAGCCCGTGACAGCTCCTGCCACAGTCGGGCTCCATGTTGGCTCCCCCCACCCCCGCAATGGTTCAGCCCTATGTCTCCCCCGCCCTCGCCATGGTTCGGCCCCACTATGGTTCCCCCCCATTCCCGCAATGGTTCAGCTCAACCACGTCTCCCTCTGCCCAGCCGTGGGTCAGTTCTGTGATAGCTCCCCCCTCTCCCCGTCATGGTTCAGCCCACCACCGCCCCACCAAGGTTTAGTCCAATAATGCTTCCCCCCCCATACCTTCCTTGGTTCAGCCCTCCCACCTCTCTCCAACCATGGTTCAGCCCCACTATGGCTCCCGCCATCCCATCGTGGTTCGGCCCAACACCGCCCTCCCTCCGCCCCACCATGTTTTAGCCCATGCTTCCCCCTCCGTTCTCCCCCTCCCCTCCCCTCCCCTCCTGCCGGTGCTTCCCCCCCCCACGATCATGGTTCATCCGAGGCGCCGCAGCCGCGCTCACCCCCCCCGCCCGGCCCGCTGCGTGGTCCGTCCCGCCGCCCCGCACTCACGTGACGACGCACACCCCAGGGCCCCGCCCCCACAGTGACGTCAGGGCGCGCGGCGGTGGCGGCGGGCGCGCGCGGG